AAAAAAAAAAAAAAAAAAAACTCCAAAAAATCCGCAAAAAAAAACTATGTTATGCAGACAAATAAACTGAACAACGTTTGCCTCAGGGTCATATCGAAATTCTTCAGCAAATTCCAAATAAAAAATAAAATTAAAAATAAAATTAAAAACAAATGCTTTTATTTTTATTTTTTTTAATGTTTTTGGCCCGGCTGGGCAAGTGACACTCTGGTAGCCTAGCAAAAAACAAAAACTTCCGGAGCAGAAATATGTTGTGTAGAATTGCAATACAAACGACTTTTGGCTGAGGGTCGCAATCGAATTCCTCAAGGAGTCGGAGATAAAAAAGAAAATAACAAAATCACACTAAGGCACCCCCATGTAAGCCCCTTTAGCTCTTTCAAAACCAATTTATTACCTCCTCCCCCCCTCTTGAAAGCCAACTCGTGAAAACAGAAATAAGGCCAGATTTAGGGTCCTCTGGGACAGCGCAGAAAAGAAAAAAGAAGAAAGAAAAAAAAGAGAACAAACGTTTTTTTTTTTTTTTTTTTTTCCTTTCTTGCAAGCCCAGGTACCCCGGGCGTCACACCCGGGTGCCCAGCTGGGCATGAAATCTCCGTAGACCAAATGTTTATTAAATGCTCTAAGAAAATTATTCTATAAACAAGAGGGGCTATCCAAGGTCATACTACCAGTACTAGTAGCAAAAAAAAAAAGCACTGGAATCAGGCTTAGGAGAACGTTTTATGGGAAGAGCTCAATCAATATCTGCTGAAACACAAGATCCCTCAAGAATAATAAGGATTTGCAAGAAAAGAACAAAAAACTTGAAAAAGATGATATGTATAAATAAGCTTTTAGATCAAATCATAGCTTTTGAAACAAGTTTAAGAAAGAAAATATAGAATAAATATAGGTATAAAAACCGCATAATAAATACAGGAAGATTTCCATGCACCCGGGCGTGACGGTACCCGAGCATGCAAAAAAAAAAGAAAACCTTTTTTTTTGGCTTTTGGCTTTTCTGCGCTTTCCCAGAGGACCCCAAATCCGGGCCCATTTGGGGCCTTGTGCTGGTCGCGATACATTTTGGGCCTCACTCCATCACATAAAACTCTCTATATGTATCTGGACCTTGTAATCGCGACAGATTCAAAATGTTGAACTCCTCCAAATGCACCTGGATCAGCAAGACGTCCAAATGCATCTAGAATGTTGAGTGGTGGAGCAAAACCCCTGTGAGCCATCCCTCCAATTCCATGTTACTCATTGTCAATCCTTGCAAGCTGCACAAGCGGTTAAACAGGACCCCCACTTTTCAACCCCGGGCTAACACCGCCAACACTGAAAAAGCGAGGTGGTTTTCCGGGCGCCCGGGCACCCAACTTGTGCCGGATACACGCCCGGGCATGACCCCCAGGCAGGGTTCCAAGCTAGGTTGTTTTCCCGGGCGCCCGGGCACCCAACTTGTGCCCCGATACACGCCCGGGTGCCCGGCCCGACATCACCCCCGGGCAGGGCTCCAGGCAAAAAAAAAAAAAAAAAAAAAAAAAAAAAAAAAAAAACGAAAGACAAAAAAATCCAGAAAGAAAATATGTTGTGTAGAATTACAATACAAACAACTTTTGGCTGAGGGTCACATCAGAATTCCTCACCGAATCACAGAGAAAAAAGAAAATAACAAAATCACACTTAGCCCCTTGAAAACAAATTTATACCCACCCACCCACCCCCCCTTTTGAAAGCTCAAATACCCCAGGCGTCAGGCCCCCCCGGCCCCCAGGAATCACGCCCGGGTGCCCGGCCGGGCATGAAAATCTTCCTAGCTGAAAAGTGCATTTGGTGATTTTTTTTATTTTTTTTTGTGGTCCAAAACAATTCCTACGCCCACTGGCAGGCAGCTTTTCACCCAGTGGCACAGATAAAACCGCCAGTGCACAGCTGCAGTGCCTTGCTGAAAAAGACCCTCGTCACCTACGAAAATTTCGGAGGCTCGGGCTACCAGACCACCATGGCTGGCAGTGATAGCCAAAAAAAGCAACGAAGTGCACCTCTGGTGGTTTGAAAAAGCTTGGCGCGCCGTAAGATACACCTACGGGCCCGCGTGCGCTGGTGGTTTAAAGCATGGACACCTGCGCCGCGGGCCAGACTCCTCAAATTCTGGAGGCGCGAAGTGAAAACGCGACCGCTGAGTTTATCGACACTGTGCCCAACGTTTGTCGTTTCGGGTTCGTTTTCTTGTGGCAACAGGTTTCGGTCTGCAAGGCTGGGCCCGTGTACTCCTGGTTCAAACCGTTTAACGCAACAAGAGGAAAATAAAGACCTTTGTGGCGCCGTATCCCCGTTGAATAGTACAGATTCTACAGAATCTATATAATAGTACAGTAAAAAAATCATTCGACTGGATCATAGGCCACCGCTTCGCGGCAGTAAACAGTCAACGCTGCGTCCGTCCATTTACATTTCATTTACTCTGTTGTTTTTGTTGGATACAATTTGAGAATTCAAGGTGCAAAATAAATTGGAGCGGGCTGTGCAACAATCGCACAGATTTACTCTGTTATTCCTCTTGAATACAAAATGTGTGTGCATTACCCACAACAGGCAGATTTTCACTCAGATTGGCACAAGGGGGGAAAGATGATGAACAGGAACGCCAGGGTCGTATCCCTCACGAATACACATTGTTTGTGTGTATTGCTCACCCGTGGTTGGCCCTTGTGACGTACTAGGGATCGAAAAACAGCGAATCTAGCCAGATCTTCACCCAGATTATTGCAACAGGAAGATGGGCATCGTCGCTAATCTACGGCCCAAAACGGACAATCTCCGGCCCAAAACAGACAATCTCGGCAGTTCTTCACACGGGTTAACAAAGGAGGAAGAGGGCCACTTTCCTTGGTGATACAGCTTTGCTAGCCTAAGGCTCATGCTTCTCCGCCGTCACTCCTCGTTGCTTGCTGGCCATCGACCCATGCTTGCACTCCTTCAAACACCCGAGTGTAAGCCCTGACATCAATCAACTTGAAACCGCCCGTCCACCCGAAGCAGAGTAACTGTACTCCTCTCTCACCACTTCGATTCTGCGCATTTGCAAAAGTGCCCTGCCGCTTTTGCAACTCAACTCGAAATGGCCTTTGCCAACCCCCATAGCAAGGCCATGATTTCGATTCAGGCCTGGGCCGGTAGCGAAAGTGGCAGGCCACTTCTTCTTTTTTTTTTTTTTTTTATGGGAACAAGGCTGCAATCTATTCGTGGGGAGCAGCTTCGCAAACGCGCAGTTGCGAACTCCCAAGTCAGAATCTTGGAAGGTAGCTTCGTCAGCTCATGCCCTCGCTCCGCCACTCACCAAATGCATTGTGCAAAATGAGAACGCATTGTCCCCTAGAGCTGTCTCTTATACACATCTAGATGTGTATAAGAGACAGGCTGCAATCTATTCGTGGGGAGCAGCTTCGCAAACGCGCAGTTGCGAACTCCCAAGTCAGAATCTTGGAAGGTAGCTTCGTCAGCTCATGCCCTCGCTCCGCCACTCACCAAATGCATTGTGCAAAATGAGAACGCATTGTCCCCTAGAGTGTGTAAATATACACTGCCATATTTTTTTTGTCTTTTGTGCATGTGACCTCGTGACATGTGGTGTTGGCCAACATTTTTCCACCACGCACCAGAACAAAACGGAACCGGCGCCAGCCTTCTTTTGGCCAGCGCGTCGTCAACCGTTTTGCTTCAATAGCCCAACGGTACCCCCCCCCCGAAATCAGTGGCACATTACCATCCGCGTCCGGGGGAAAATGGCTGGATGAGGTACTTGTCGCGGTTCATTATTAAGAGGAATGGAAGCGGAGCGAACATCGGAAAAAAAAAAAGATTGGCGGGGATACGGCCACAACGTTTGGAGGAAGGGTCCTGGTACGAACGGGGTAAATCAACTTAAACCACCACTCCCTCCGACATCAAGAAATTGGGGGGGGGCGGCAGCCCAGGTTCATTAGGGCTACCGGGTAGTACAGTGTGGAAAACCAAAAGAAACACAAAAATTGAAATGTGTTTAAGCTTCAAATGCCTCGCCAATTTGCTTCGTGATTTTAAGCAATTTTTTAATTTAAAAAAAATATTTTTCCTGGAAAGATCACGAGCAAATCTACAGAACCTCTAACTTTCAAACTCTTTGCCGCATTCTTTTGGAATGCGAAAAATCGCAGAAGTTGGAGTACTTTTCCCGTTGGCCCACAAATGGCACACTGGCAAAACTGGAACATGCACCGAATCAGCGCAGCAATTGTTTCACGGTCAAAAAAAAAAAAAAAGATCTTTTTTCCTGTTACTGTACCAGGAAAGATCACAAACTAATCTACCAATGCTCAAATTAATTTTCGGAATTTTCTGTGAATTCTTCCGAGCGCGAAAAATCGCCAAAGTTGCCGCGTTAAAATTGTGGGACTAGGCCCGCCGTTTCGGCCTCCGGTCGCCGCCCTCCCTCAAAACCCGCCCAAACTCACCAGGAGGGCTATTTCCTGGTGCCGGAGGGAGTGGAGGGCTTAAGCCGCCAGTACACGGCCCCAGTCTTGCAGGAAATATTTTGCCGCCTACTCCGAGAATTCCGCAACTCGGGCGCCTACCCCACCACAATGGCTGGCAGTGCCAGCCAAAAAAAAAAAAAAAGGTGCGCTGCTGGCAGTTGGGCAAAGCTTGGCACGCAGTGGGGGGCCTCTGGACCGGGACGTACTGCTGGTCGTTTGGGTCGAACGAAAGTCAGCGGAACAGATGGCGGGAAAAGCAAAAGGGAGTGTTATGTGCTATCTCTGGACCATCGCCGCCTCACGTTTTCTTTGTCTTCTCGTCTTTGCGCCGTCTTTTAGCCTGCCATAGCTCGTCTCCGGTGCCCCGGGAGGGGGAAGCAACATCCGCGCTGGGTATTTGATCTCCATGAGACATAATCCATGCGCCGCTGCCGACCTCGGTGCCTTGTCACGGCGTCGAAGCGTCGTCAGCAACTCTCTCCCAAAAGACACAGCCACCGAGCCTTTCCCCACTTCCAGTAAAAAGCCAACCTGTGATCAAGAAACATGTAGAGAAAAAGGTTAACAGTGGTCGTGACGACCTGAAGGAAACATAGTTTACTGTTAGTACTAACTTAGTAGGAAAGGAAACATAGTTTACTGTTAGTACTAACTTAGTAGGGGGAAAAAAAAAAAAAAAAAAAGGTAAGTTAGTACTACGTAATATGTACCTTCCTTGGCCTTTTTTTTTTTAGAGCTAAAAGTGGATCAAAGTGTAGTATCTGTTCTGAGCAGTTTGATATCTGATACGTGGCGCATCGGGCCCCACATAAAAGGGAAATAATCGGAAAAAAAAAAAAAAAACGTATCTGTTCTGAGTATGATATCTGATCCGTGGCTCACCGGGCGACATAAACAAACGAAAAAAAGGATGCAAACATTGCAAAGGAAATCCAAAAAAAAGAATAATAAAAAATTAAAAAATTAAAAAAATCATAGCAGACATTTCACAGCTCCAGGAGGGAGATCCCACTAGCATTGTATGTGGAGTAGTGTAGAGGGCGTGTGACCCGCCTCCACCGTCGATGGGAATGGGGATCGGTGGTTTTGTTTTTCCTGTATTTTAGCCCTCGAAAATATATGTTTTTTTGGAGCATCCCATTGGGTGGTCTTTCTTTTGTTTTGCTTGCCGTGTTCCTCTGGGGGTCCCGAACGTGAGTGAAAATCAGACCCATTTTTTTTGTGTTGCTTTTCACTCACCTTTCAATCACCATTGGGTCGTGGTCCATGCGTGGAAGAGAGGCCGAAAACAAAATTTTTCGGTGTTTCCCATCATGAGGGAATGTCAGTCCGTGTCAGACCCTCGTCCAAGTTGTCTGTAGTCCCCGCAAATGTTTCACATGGGCAATGCTTTTGTCCTCTTCCTTTGACATGCATGTGCCCCCTTATTTTTTGGGATGTGTTTGGGAGGGTTCGATCCCCTCACCTACAGCAAATGGTGTATAGAGTTACTCTTGCCCTTGTTTTTTTACGTTTATTTTCCCAATTTCACGCTGCCACCCACCTGTCCCCCACCCGTCCCCCACCCGTCACACTAATCCACATACCTGGCTAGTGGGATCTCCCTCCGGCCTCGCTTCCACGCATGGGCCACAACCCAAAGGAGAGTGAAAGGTGAGTGAAAAGCAACACAAAAAAAATGGGTCTGATTTTCACTCATGTTCGGAACCCCCAGAGGAACACGGCAAGCAAAACAAAAAAAAGACCACCCAATGGGATGCTCCAAAAAAACATATATTTTCGAGGGCTACAATACAGGAAAAACAAAACCACCGATCCCCATTCCCATCGACGGCGGAGGCGGGTCACACGCCCTCTACACTACTCCACATACAATGCTAGTGGGATCTCCCTCCAGTCCACAATGCAAACCACCCCCACAGTGTCTTTCTTTCTCTTTTTTTTCCCACACCCTCAACCCTTCCCCCCTGGAAAAAGAAATAGAAGCCATAGGACTGTCTCTTATACACATCTAGATGTGTATAAGAGACAGCCCTCTACACTACTCCACATACAATGCTAGTGGGATCTCCCTCCAGTCCACAATGCAAACCACCCCCACAGTGTCTTTCTTTCTCTTTTTTTTCCCACACCCTCAACCCTTCCCCCCTGGAAAAAGAAATAGAAGCCATAGGACGTCGAAAAGAAAAGAAAAGAAAAAAAAAAAATTGAAAACAAAAAAAAAGTCACCATGAGCAAAACGAATGCAGGTCAGTCTGATCAGAAAATCAAGTAATTAATTTAATTTCTTTGCATCTTTTTTTTATTAAAATTCTGTTTTTACAGAAACTTAAGACGCTAAGCCCGATCCGGAATGGTCATGTGATGCAAATCTCGATCCTCGGCTCCGTTATTTGTAAAATCCCCTGCTGCCCAACAACAAACTGCCTCCAGTACAGCAATTACCGTCTTCCCCTGAATACAACGTGCCGTCAATATAGCTGTACTTGGGGTATTTTTCAGTCTAAATACAGCAAGAATGACCGAATATACGTTATATTCGGGGGAAAGAAGGTAGGCCATCACACTCAAACCACATTGTCCCTCACAAATTTGCCAATTTAGTAATTTACCCTCCTCAGGGAGTACCTGTTTTCCTCAGTAATTTCCAATTCCACCCTCCCCCCCCCCAAACACCCTATCACCTTCCTCGCAAGTTTTTTTTTCCCCCCTCTTTTTTGAAGTTTTTCCTGATTATTTTAAGGGCGACGTCCTTGAGATACGCTCATCGAACTGACCGACGCGCCCTAGGTAATTCAGAGTCGCAGTATTTTATTTCACTCATCTTTCTTCCAGTGGAGTTCGAACTCAGCACCTGGTCTGTATTTCAACAGTTCAGGGGCGAGGTCCCACTACCAAAGAGGATTGGATTAAGCTCCTGCATCTGGACGTATTTTAAGCAGATATGCAGAAAAGCAGTTCAATCTCGATTCTGTCCACCTTTCCAACAAACACGTCCATATTCGGGCATTCAATCCACTCCTCTTTGCTGGTGGGACCTCGCCCCAGGCGTGTACCAACTGAGCTAGGCCAGTTGGTTCCCTCACAAGTTTGCCCATTGGTCCTGAGTAACTTTCAACTGAGTACCGTCCTTCGGGACATCCGTTAAAACTGGAGCCTCAACAGTCTGCAGAATCCCCTACCAGAGTGGCCCAGGACCACTTGCCCAGCCGGGCCCAAAAAACAATAAAAAACCTATATATCGTCAAATACACATATATATATAGTCACATAACTATGAACTAAAAGAGCGCATTTTGCGAAACAAACTGCAGAAACAGGAAATTAAAAAACAAGACAAACAGGAAGGGCACACTGAAACCATTCATTTTTCTCGTTCTTCTTTGAACTCCCCCTTCACCGTGCCTCTCACGTACAAGGCTCAGCACGTTGACGAAGTTGAGCGTGAGCTGCCCCCATCCCCGTGTACCATAAGGGTCCACTTGTACGCCGTGAGAAAGAGGCAGAGTGAAGGGAGAGGGGATAAACACAGGGAGGAGAGATTGAGAGCAGACAAACAAAGAACAATAAACGGAAAGAAGTAAGGGAAAGTAGTACGGAGTGTGGAGGCTCAAGAATGAGTCTGTCCTTGACGACAGAGAGGACATACATTGTAATGATGAGGAGGTGGATGAACACATGGAAGACCTCCTAGCTGAGCATTCTCAGTGCAACAATTGCCACGACGGCTGGCATCGAAGTATGCCCACCATACACCCCCGACAAATGGCATGTCGAATTGCAACCAAAATGAAGGAAGAACGGTCACCACAAAAGACCATGTGGCCGCAAAATGGACGTATATTGTCTGGATGCGGAGGGTGTATAGGGTTCAGCCTCCTGATCAGTCGGTGAAACTCCAACGAAACAGTTCGTCAAAGCCCCTCGTTTGTTGTCCTCTTCGCCCTCTTGTCCCTCTCTGCCTACGTTTTACTAGGCAGCTCTGTCTGTTTGACGGTATATGTATCGTCCAACAGCGCTGCCCAGCAAACCGTAGGCAGACAGGGACAAGAGGAAGAAGAGGACAACAAACGAGGGGCTGTGACAGACTGTTTTTTTCGTCGGAGTTTCACCGACTCATCAATCAGGAGGAGGCTGAACCCTCAACAGTCTGCAGAATCCCCTAACTGACTGATTAGCACAATGAAAGTGATAATACACCTTAACCCCGGTTACGATTAAGCATCAACGACTGCCTGGCAACTGATACGGTAACCCTGAGGTGGTGGGGACCACCAACCACTGCCCTCAAGGTACCCGTGGCAAAAGTCAAAGCAGACTATCACTCGCCCACACCAGATGGAAAACTCTACATATATATATATATATATCGTCAAATAGATATATACTATAAGTCTATAAGTGATAATCCACCTTGACCCCGGTCAGTGATTGTGGTTAAGCATCAACGACTTCGGTAAAGAATTCCGATGTGACCCTGAGGCAAAAGTCGTTCAGTAACTTCAGTTTGTTTTTCTGCATAACATAGTGTTTTTTCGGATTTTTTGGATTTTCTTTTTCTTTTTCTTTTGCTGGAACCTTCTTTGGTCCTTGCACGGCTGGGCATCCCGGGCAAACAGGGTGACCCGGGCAGGTCCGGCTGGTAAGCTCACCAAAAAAAAAAAAAAAAAAAAAAAAAAGATGAAGTCAGACTCAGGACACAATGCAGATCTGTGTTTTGGGAGGCAGGCTGGTCACACAGTGTGACCCATCACACATTGCCTGTCAATAAAATTCTGTTTGATGAATGGAGACGAGAAAGAAACGTGGGTTCACGGGCATCACTCTGGCTCCGAGATGCCCAGAAACTAGTACACACCCGTGGGGGACGAACGTGTCAAACAGTTCGTGCTGGGAGGAGAGGGGGAGGAGGGAGAGAGGCAGGGAGACAGAAGAAGGTGGGACCGAAGAAGAGGCACTCACCATATTTCGAACCTGTTTATACATAAACCCAGTGCCCTCGACTTCAAATCGCACACCATCCTCCTGCAGGAATCCCGGATATTCCAAACAACAGACAGACGACAAACCCTCCGTCACGACAAGTAACATAATTACAACAGTGACGAGGGGGGACATGATGACAAAACAATGAATTTCGCTGGGTAGCACGGGGGTTCTGCCAACTTTGAGGGGCACGATTCAAATTTTTGCAAAAAATATATATTCTGCACAATATTCTGACGACGGTGGAATGCCTCGAAGGCTTGCAGCAGGAGGAACGTCCAGATGTACCGCAGCTTCTAGACTTGGAGAAAGCCTACGATAGTCCCCCTCCAGTTTTTTTTTTAATAATGAATGTGTCATCCTTGCACAGGGGCCCTGACTCTATCGTAGGCTTTCCCCAAGTCTAGAAGCTGCGGTACATCTGGATGTTCCTCCTGCTGCAAGCCTTGGAAGCATCAACTGGAGCGAAGATTAGCAGGGTAGCAGGGCCCCTGTGCAAGGATGACACATTCATTATTAAAAAAAAAGTGGGGGGAGGGGGGAGGAATTGCATCTGTACCCAGGCTACCAGACTGGGCCGGGGGCCACTTGGCTAGCCATATCTATGAACTAGAAGAGTGCACTTTGTGAAACAAACGATAAGAATACACAAGCAAAACATGAAGAGCACGCGGAACCGTTCTTTTTTATCATTCTTTTTTAAACTCCCCGTTTACTGTGCCTCTCGCGCATATATTGTCACAAGAATATCAGAGCGCAAAAGCGAAAAAAAAGAAAAAGAAAGAAAACAGGGAAATGCATGGGTCCTGGGGACCATCTCACGCAGGTGTGTACATGTCATGCATCGTCTTCACACGCAGTGGTCAATAGTCTCAACCATAGACAAAGGTAGAGAAGAAGAGGACCGAGTTTCACAGCTTATATTATCAGAATTATGAATACAAAGTGTTTCAAAGTTCCCCTGAGTCCAGCGATCATCAGCGCAACGCAAATCTCTGCTCAACTCATCAATATGCCTTCCAAGGCATCAGCGCTACCCCTGCAGATTGTCTCCCAGTCATCAATATGGTCACAACTCATCAGCGCCAACTCTGCAGTTCACAACCAACTCAGGTAAGTGTCTCCCATAGCCAAACCGTGAATGAACACTCTTCGTCTCAATCTCTTCCTCCTACGATGCATGCACACACTGTTCTCACAAGGATCTACTCTGAATACGACTCATAGCTAAGTACTAACCCTTCTACTCTACTTACTAACTTGCTGGGCAGCTATGGCTGCATCCCTTCCAGCGCACAGTCTTCTTCTTCCCTCTTAGCGCATCTTCCTTCCTCCAGCGCTACTCCTACTGACTAACGCACAAGTGCACCAGCACTTCCACGCATTCAAGCCAGTGGAGATCTGGCGAGGAATGAGGCAGGCAGCTTTCTTTATAGTGCTGACTACTCCTCGCTGGGTCTGCATTGGCTCATTTCGGCCTTCCCTTTGTCCCAGACCCTGCATTCCATGTGTCCCAGTAGAGTCCCAATGAAGTTCAACTGCTGCTGAGGCCTCTCGGCCTGTATTTGGACTTGAAAGTCTGGATCTGGACTGACCCCTTGACTTAGACCARAACTGGGACTGTGCCTATTGACTTTACTTTCAGACAGGCACAACTCTCAACGAACAGACACATTTACTGTTTGAACAGACACTTCCCTTTGCACAAACAGGTACACTGCCTGCACGTACAGACACACTCTTATCCGAACAGACATGACATACACAGCTCCTGGTGAACAGGTAAGTCCTTTGACAATGCCTGTTGCTTTAGATTTAGATGTGCCCATTGATAGAGAACTTGACCTTTGACCTGCTTCCACGTTTCTGAGCCCTGGCGAGATACCTTTTCACAATGCTTTACTTTTTCAAGGCCCGTGCTGCTTTATTTTTACAAGGCCTGAGGCCTATATCGGGTAAAGGCCCTTTTAGAAAAAATGAATTCAAGGAAAAAATGAATTATCGTCAAACAGAGCTGCGATGTAAAAAACCGTAGGCAGAGAGGGACAAGAGGGAGAAGAGGACAACAAACGAGGGGCTGTGACAAATCGTTTCGTCGGAGTTTCGCCAACTCATCATATATATTGTCACATCACCTTGCGGAACATCTAGAGCGCACTTTGCGGAACAAAGAATAAAAGCAAAAAACGGGCACAGTGATAACATGCAAAAAGAAAAAGAAAAAGAAAAAACAAGGGCAGATTGAAACCATTAAATTTCTCATTCTTCTTTGAACTCCACCTCCACTGTGCCTCTCACGTGCAAGGCTCACCACGTTGATGAAGTTGAGCGCGAGCTGCCCCATCCCCGTATGCCATAACAGCCCACTTGCACGCTGTGAGAGAGGCAGAGTGAAGGGGAAGGTGTTAAACACAGGGAAAAGCTCAAGAATGAGGCTGTCCTTGACGACAGAAAGGACACACATTGT